CTGTGCCATGCTGTGCCAGTCTGTGCCATTCCATGCTATGCTGTGCCATTCCATGGCATCCTGTGCCATCCTGTGCCATGCTGTGCCAGTCTGTGCCATGCTGTGCCATTCCATGCTATGCTGTGCCATTCCATGGCATCCTGTGCCATCCTGTGCCATGCTGTGCCAGTCTGTGCCATGCTGTGCCATTCCATGCTATGCTGTGCCATTCCATGGCATCCTGTGCCATCCTGTGCCATGCTGTGCCAGTCTGTGCCATGCTGTGCCATTCCATGCTATGCTGTGCCATTCCATGGCATCCTGTGCCATCCTGTGCCATCCTGTGACATGCTGTGCCATGCTGTGCCATGCTGTGCCATTCCATGCCATCCTGTGCTATGCCATGCTGTGCCATGCCATGCCATCCCGTGCCATGCTGTGCTGTGCCATGCTGTGCCATTCCAGCTGGAGGAGACAGAGTCCCTGTTCCCATGGGACGTGTCCCCACTGGCCAGCACGAGGTGTGTGACCCCAGCTCACGGCCTGAAGCCACCAGACAGGTCACTGGGGGTGACGTGCTTGTGTGACCACAGCCCTGCTGTCCCCACGCCAAGTAACTCGCCAAGGGGATGTGGGTGGGTGAGCACACCCCTCGTGGGGTGTCCCAGGGGGTGTCCCTGTCCTGGCACCCAAACCCCCGTGGCTGTACCCCTCTGTCACTGGTGGCCACCAACCAAGGGGCAGGAAGAGCCCTCAGCAGGGCTGGGCTGGGATCCCCACCTCTGCTCCAGCCTTGGCCTGGGTCAGGGCAGCTTTGGGAATGGGTGGGAAAGCACCCACAGCCCCAGCTCCCCTGGGGCTGAGCACTGCCCAACTCATCACTGGGATGGTTGTGTGCATGGGGGGCTCTGGGGCTGCTGGGGGGAGGTGCCATGGCTGGTGGGGGCTGCTGCCCAGGCTGCCCAGCTGAGGGAGCAGGATGCAGGTGAGGGCTGGCTGTGGGATCTGGGATGGGGAAGGAGCTGGCAGTGGGGGTGAGTGGTTCTTTGGGGGCTGCTGGAGCTGGGGGTGAGCAGGAGGGTGCTCAGCTGAGGGAGCAGGGATGCTCTGCTGGGCTTTTTTCCTCATCCAACATCCCAGTGCATGTCTCCATCCATCCATCCCTCCCTCCCTCCCTCCATCCCTCCATCCATCCATCCATCCATCCATCCATCCATCCATCCATCCATCCATCCATCCATCCATCC